CCCCACTCGTGAAGATCAGGTGGGTGAGGAGGACAAGACGGTGTCCTTGTCCCTGTGCCATACACGGATGACCCAGGCCACGGGGACCCAGGTGAGACCCYGACCGTGCCTGTGCGCGGTGGACCTGGGAGAGGAGCAAACTGCTCTTCCCCAGCTGGAAGGATCGACTGTGGTCCAGCCGGTGCCTTGGAGTYGCCTAATGAATTGTGATTGGGAAGAAGCTCCACTCGGACACATTTTATTTTATTTATGTCAGGATTTGCCATGCATTAAGGCAGGGGCTCATTAAATTAGCAAGGCAGACAGTTTCTGCCAAGGTGGCCTGAGCTAATGGTGCTGGACGGGCTTCAGCCAAGAAGCAGCAGCCGCTGGCACCGGCGCGAAGGCCCTTCCAAACTGGGCTCCTTCCAAACATCAGGAGGCGCCGCGATGGGCAGGAAGCCTCACCAGGCATGGCCAGCCCCTCTTCCTTCTCCGCATGGCCAACCCCTCTTCCTTCTCCCCGCAGCCCCAAACGTTGTGGTCACCTTGTCACACTCACAGCTTAAAACTTCTCGGACTTAGACTTCAGACGGTCTCTGGTTCCAGGCTGGACTGGAATTTATGATGCTGTGAAAGGCAAAAAGAGCATAGAAACAATCTCTTCCATCCAGCCTATTGCCTCCTGCACTGGAGGAGATTTCAGGTCCGTTGCTAAATTTGAAAGCCTCTGCCCTGCCCAGGAAAGCTGCTGAAAAAGACMCCAGGTGGGAGGAAGGGGCTTGAGGACACCCCAACACCAGCCCAGATTATCCCCCATTGGGACCCAAAGCCACCCTAGGAAGCAAGCTTTTATTTTTAAAAACGGGCCCTGATATTAATGACACGTAATGACTAGATTGCCCTGCGCGGATCTGTAAATACACACAGCGCTGCACAGAGCCGGGCGAATTCCCTGCTGCGAATTGCCTGCAATTTGCAATCGGCTGCGTCTATAATCAGCGTGACGGGGAGCCTGGCAGGGCAGCGAGCAGCTCTGCTGACCGGAGCTCCCGTAACTAGAGTTTCGTGCAGAGGAGAACGGCCCTCCAGGGCAGCTCGTCCTCCCCAGGACCAGGGAGCCCATTAGTCCCCTTTCGGCTCCAGGACATGAAACCTTTTGCCTGGCACCTCTGGACTGCTCCCTATTCCCTGCGTCCTTGAGCCTGCCCGAAGCCACATCTAAGCCTTGCTGGACAAGCCAGCTTCACTCCCTCCATAGGGAGAAATGTGGGAAAATCCCAGCTTTCCTCTCTCCCCTCATTAGGCTGCTATAGAGGAGACAGCTCCAAGGACAGCACAAGACAGAGCAAGGGCCAAGGAGCAGATGGAAGGTGAGGAGCTCCCAGGAAGGCCTCTTAGTTACAGGTTTGCATAGACCCAGTGATTTTATTAAGCGCTTTCCAGAAGCAAAGCAAGTCACAAGTTTGTGCTCCCCGCATCCTCGAGCAGCCTCCTGCCTCCGRTGGAGCCCAGGGTAAAACGCTTGTCCTGAACACATGTCTGTCGGACAAGACTCGGGGGCAAGTCAGCGCTATCTAATTCCCAGTGGGATGCAGGAATTCCCTGCTCACCTTGCCAGTGATGGCCAGGCGGTTGGTGGCTCTTGTGTCCTCAGCAGAGGTGGGAAGCAGGGGGTGCCCAAGGACACGAGCAGCCACTCAGAACTTCCAAGAGGGGCTCCTCAATCGCCTCCATGCACCGAAGGACACAGAACAACTCTCTTAAATTGCCCTCATGCTTGAGATTTTGGGGAGCAAGTTTTGTTCTCTCCCTCCTGAGCGGAGCAGGAGCTGCAGCTTCCAGAGACGGAGCTCCAGGTGCTGCAGGGATAATGTTTGTGTCCATCAGATTACACCTTTCCAGGCCTGGTGCCTGGTTGATCTCATGAAACCTAAGTGGATTTCTYCTGAGAAGAAATCAATAAGTTAAGTGTCAGCGTCTGCACTGAATTCTGAGCTGGCCACAGTTAAGTCTGACCTCTGGCTCTGGGAAGCTGGTCCTTGTCCTTCTGCTCCTTGACTCAGGGCAGGCTCTGCCAAGGCAATTTGGACAATTAGACGAGCAGGGCTGAGATCTGTAAGATTTCCCTTAGGCATGAACAGGGAATAAAGTTTAAATTCCTAGGAAACTTCTAAATTATCCATGTCCCCCAGAGGATGTGCAGTTGAGGCCCCTCTGCAATGAGCCTACAGCTGCTGCCTTAACCTGAAACAGGGAGRAAAGTTGCCCAGGGGCTCCTTGCAACACAAAAGAGCTGGGAAGAAGTGGGAGCCCAGGAGCCACCAGCAGGAGCTGAGTCACCAAAACTCTCTTTTTTGGAAGGGAACGAGAGCACAAGCAACAAGATTCAGCCAGCCCAGGCAACAAGTGCTGCCTGCGATGCTTGTGTCCTACAAGGGGTCCCAGCTTCAGGCCACCGAGGTCCTGGCTCATGGAAGCACACGACCACGCAGACATTTGCCCACTTGTTGCTATGCCATGAATGAAAATCAGCTCTCAAGCGGAGGATGTGCAGGCAATTGATTCATACATCACTGGGGAGAGGCAGAGACATTTCTGCAATGCATTTTGTGCAGCAGCCCTGAGCTGCAATGCGGCGTCATCAGATAAATCTGTTCTTCTTTGCTGGAATTCGCTTGGATTGCTCTCAAATTCTCAAACTTCCAACTGTGATCAAGGCACAGTTTTTGGCTTACGAGAATCAGGAGGCATTTTGCAAATTCCCACCAGGGAGAGGCACTGGCATCTTCTCTCTCACAAATGTCCATGTCCCGYGAGCCCCTTCCCTAATCCTGCCGTTCACTGGAGTGCCAGGTGTCACATTAAGACTGAGAGTGAGACCAGCCACGAACGGGGTAAGAAGATCTGCTCTTTGGAGCATCCATCCCTTTGGTCACAACACGCAAAGCTCTGAGCTCAGCTTGGTCACATCTGCCTGGTGTCACAATTTCTGGCGATGCTGGGCCACGTTAGTGATGGATCCTCCAGCCAGCACCACCTTTGGCTTCCTAGGGATCCCTTTGATGGATCCCTTCCTTCCTAGGGATCCATCAGCCAGAATTTGGTGGGCAGGTTGAGTCTTTACAGCCTGGGAGGCAGGAAGAGGAGGAAGAGGAAGGCATGGGACAGCTTCACAGCTCGGAGGCAGGATTAGAGCTGGGCATCCTGCCAGCCCGGGCGGGAGCCCTGACTCAGATCCAAGCTCCAGAACGGTTCCACCACAAGGATGCGGATGAGCGGCTGTTCCGGCTCGCCTGGATATGCTCTTTCGGAGCGGCTTGAGCCTGGCTCTGCCTGGGCTCGGCTCCCTGCCGCGCCGCCCGGCCCTGCCTGCTCTCATGTTGGTTTTTCAGTATCAGTGTGATGGTAGAGGGCCCCTGTGTTCCATACCTGGCTTGAGCATGCAGGAACGGAGCCACTGCTGGGAAAAAAATGCAGGAAAAGGGAGCGTTTCTGGCCTGTTTGGGGCTTTGCAGCCGTTTCCTGTACGGGGAAGCAGAGGGGAGGTTACAGCAGGGCCATCGCTCACAGGATTCATTACTGCACTCGCCGACTTGCCCAGGGAGACAGGAGAGGATCAAACGCCCGCGAGCTCCGGCGCTCTCCCTGCGTCAGTGTCACCCATTATTTTATTTAATGGAGATTTACGGGCRCCGCCACGCTCTCTCCACGCTCCGTTTCGCGCGGCGCGCCCGTAACTCAGCGCCACGGGGCATTTACAGCCCCCTGTAAATCCGCGCTCTCAYGGGAAATATTTAAAGATATTTTAAAATCCTCTTCCCGTCCCCAGCCAGGCTGAGAGCTGCCTTTCAATCCAATCCTACATCTCCCAAGACACTGCGGCTTGTAATTACTACCAAAAATAATCTTAAAGTCCTCAAATAAGATAGTTAATTGTTCCAAGAGYTTAGAAATAATTATTAACTACACTTCTTTCTGAGCAAGGGTTGGGCCTGGAGGCTTCAGGCACCAAGGGATGGGGAGACCCCAGGTCCCAGCCAGGGCAATGTCCCCAAGAAGGAGCAATGAGACCAAGCCCAGCTCTGCTCCAAGCTCAGCTCGGTGCCACAGTGACCACCACAGTGACAAGCACCAGCAACAGTGCCAAGGGGATAAGGGGAGCCTGAGCCTCCAGCTGTGATGATGTGACAACGCTGAGCTGTGAGCCTGGCAGGGACAGCAGTTACTAGTGCTGAAYTCACTTTTATGGAGTTATTGCCACCTCTTTCCTCATGGTTTGCATCTTGTTTCGCTTCTCTAACTGCCTTCAAGCCACTGCATCCTTGGAAAAAGGCTGCTGAAGAGGAACAAGCAAGACAGCAACGGAGAGAAACATCCCTGGGAATGCAAGAAAGCCCCGGAGGGAGCAGCCAGCACCACCACTTGCTGCACAGAAAAGGCTTTTATAGGAAGCAGTAATGCCAGGTGGGCACCAGGACAGCCCTGCCACCCCAACCTCCAGGCCTGCTCCCAGGCTGCAACAGATGCTCCAGAAATTAAACATCTCACCCAAGAGCCATAATCATCCCGCTTATAATATATWGGGCAGCAAAGGATCCGGACAAGCACAAGCGAAAGGAGAATGGGCAAATTGTTCTCTTTAATCACATTATCAAGGAAGTGCTATCCTGCACTGCCTCAGTTTTGTGTACAGATCGAAAATCACCRGCAGATCTGTCCTCTGATTTCCCGCTCCATAAACGTTTTCTTTTTCCCCACCCTCCCGCTGCAGTAAGAGGTGGCAGCTGAAGAATCGACCCTCAAGGTGAGTCCCAACTAAACCTCCAGCAAAGCCCAGAGCCAAGAGTCTGTGCAAGCAGCTCAGTGACGTCCTCCAGCTGCTACCTGGGCCTGGGCCACCCCACTGAGATACCCAGTGCAGAAAGTTGTGCTCATAATACACTTTAAACAGTAATTAAGTGAACTGCACCCTCTTGTCTCCTCACATGATAAGATCTGAGCTACATGGGGTGATGCTCTGCCTCCTTTCGCATCTTAATTGTTCATCTGTTGCTCTTCTGTCCAACCCTTATTGCTGGTCACTGCTCCAGCGCTTGCTCTGCAGGCAGAGCCATGTGCTTTTCAGTGGCACTGGGTGATGCAAGGAAGAACACTGGGAACACAATTCCCCCGGCAGAGTTGGGGATGCAGGATGAACATCATCGCTGGCAGGAAGGTTCACCCGTGCAGCTGCTCTTCAGAACCTGCCCGGGGATCTGAGCACCTCCATTACGGCTGTGCCCCCCACAACCAAGAGTTGCAAAGACCTAATTGTATTTGGTTTGGGAAAGTGCAAGACATTGCAGCAACAGAAGGCTCACTGGTGTAACCTTACATGAGAAAGGCATGTTAGATGTGACCTGTGTTCCCTCAGAGCACCTCAGGATGCTGTGAGGCCACCAGACGGTGACAGTAGATGCAAAGTAGACCAGACACTGCGGCTGTGCTCTCAGATACCCACCTCTGTCCAACCCTGGAAGCACTGGGAAACACAGAGGAACAAAATCATCCTCCTTTAGCCAAAATTAAAAAAAAAAGAGCCAACAGCAGCTGCTAGTGTCTTATATCATTCACATTTAAATCTACCATACACCCTTACAGTGCAATTGCTACACAGCAAAGCATAAGGCAGATCATGTCCGACTCATCCAGTTCATAATAGGGCCTGGTACAATGATGGCACTCCTAGGAGCCTCTTTTGCAAAGGAGCCAATGCAGCCTCTGCCCTCCCCACTCCCGCGCCCCCGTTTCATCATGCAGCAGGGTGGTGCGAGTTCAGAGACKGCCCTGCCTTGGGAGAGGTACTGGAAGCTCGAGGACGCAATTCTGCTCAAAGAACCTGCTCGGTGCTCGACGAGGAAATGTCCAATAATCTCCAAGCAGCGTAAGGGTTGAGTTCGTCCTGGTCCCTGCACAGTGCCCACACATACAGCATCCGCAGAACCTTGTCCTAGAAGGGAAAGGCACGTGTTAGAATTGTAGGATGGTCACAGACYTCCCACCCCAGTGCTGACCAGGAACAAGCTCCACAGTCCCCCCAGAAATCGTTCTCGTGGAAATTTTACCTTCCCGATACTAATGCTGMAGATGCCAAATAATGGGATAACAATGTTTACTAGGTTGCTGTTCATTGCAATCAGGAACGGAGCAACTTCCAATTCCTGACCACAAAATTAGGATTTCCAGGCATCTCCGGAGGGCACAGACTCATGAAGGGACACCACTGTCAAGCTGGAAAACAGTGTACTTATTTCGATATACATTTCTGGTTTGAAAGTCATTTTGACGATACGGTGCATTGCTGTCTCAGAGCTCAGGCCCTTCCCCACACCTCCAGCTGTGCCTCTCCTGTATCTGCCTGTAGAGCTGCTCATCAGCTGCACCCAGAACTTCTTCCTACCTCTCATGTAGAGGGACAAGYATTTCCCTCAGATAAGGAATTGTCATTGAGGGATGAGACGGAGCATTGGCTCAATGCCCAGCCGTGTACTTAACTACTGTATTTTGATCCAACGTGTGAATTTTTATAGGTTACAATTTAAGCATAGAAATGTGAGGGGGAGACTTTCTGTACCAGTGCAGTCGTTAGAAACAAATGCTTTAGAAATACTGTGCATCTTAAAGCCATTTCTTTTCCCCATAATGTTTCAAAAGCTAAGCTTGCTTCAGTTCTGGTTCAAAGCGTTCAAATGAAAACCTGAGACACACAGATGCTTGGAATATAGAAGTAAAGGGAGCAGAGGGGAGAAGAGAAGAGCAAAAAAAGACGAAAAAAAAACCCCAAAACAGAACATTTGAGGGCTTGAGAAGGCTGGAGCTGTGAATCCTTCAAGAAGGAACTTCACAGCATTCATCAGGTTGCCAGAACCTAGGCGTAAGTGGGAATTGTGAAAGGCCAAGCTCACAAAGAATGGGTTTTTAAATCATTTTTTTCCTTTTTTTTTTTTTTTTTTTTTTTGGCAGGGAGGGAGGCTTCATTTCCCTTTTCTTGTAAAACATAAGAAATCCTGCTAATATCCAGTAGAGGGAAAAAAAAAAAAAAAGAGGATTTGTAGTAAGCAGGTCCTTACGTAACTGACTGCTGGAAGTGTCAAGGATTTTGCAGGACTCAGCTCCATCTGGCCTTGCTTGTTCCCAAAAGCCACGAGCAGACCTACCCTCCGGGAGTTTGCTCAACCCCGGCTAAGCTAATCTGCACCTTCAGCTCTCGGAGCTCTCCATCCCCATGGATCTCCATCACTCCATTCTACACGAGTGAAAACAGTCCTCAGCTGCAAGTTTTCTGTCTTCATTCCCTCCACTTGTTCTTGGGTTACCAAGCCAAAAGGCTCCCATATTTGTCACCTCCATGGCAATCTATTTACAGATCTTTATCTGTGTTATCCCTTTTGCTAATTACGTAAACTTTTCCAGTTATGTGTTCTCGGATACAGTGTTTCTGGACGAACAGCAGATCACCTTAGGACTGCTGGTGACCTCAGAGCACGCACTCCCAAAAGAGAGCGCAGATTTCTTCCTGAAAATGAGTCGTGCTGAAGCATAGAAATGTTTTGTTCCTGAAGTCAAGAGATTTCTGATGTACTGATTTGTTGCTTTTACTAATAGGGTCCAGCTTAATCCTGAATATACAGTTCATGCTTCTGCATACGGAAGGCTGCATACAGAGCCTGGGCTGGCAAACAGCCGCAGACTCCCAGAGGTGGGTTTCAGTCACAGCTAGGAATATGAGGTACAATTTGTCCTTTAATCCAACAGGCTACTACGAGAAAGAGCATTCAGCCTCAGAGCCCCTCAGGACTCAATTGTAAAGATGCCTTTGGCCTCCCAGCACTGCTCGGTGGGCTGTGCAAGGCTTAACGTGCCCAGCTTGATGTGGTGGTGCTCCACGGGGATCTCCTGCGTTCACCTCCGGAATGCCGGGCCCGATTCCCCACAGACGGCTCCGTCTCCCCGTCTCCCACCAGGGATGAGCATGTAGTACAGCACGGGAGCTTGAACAACTGCAAACTAGGCAATACCGCAGCAATTACAAGCACATGGTTTCTATTTAGGGAGTTTACAAGTTGAGGCTCTTTTTTTTCCCCTAGAAGGTCATTTGTTCACCACTCGGCAGGAGCAGCCCAGCGGTTGCACCGACTCATACTTGCCAGGCAGCCTGCAGCTGACATTTGATTAAAACTAAAGTTTCATCTCCTATAGAGAATTTTAATGCATCTCCCTGATTTATTGTTGCTCCAGAGAATACGGTCTTTGATATCCTGTTTAATAATTATCACATCAATACCTATCTTACAGGACTGGAGAAATTTGAGGCAAGAAATCACTATATCAGCTGTTCCTCTCRCTGCAGTCATTGTGACAGGTCATAAATCAGTCCAGGTGGACCCCCTCTTTAAAATTAGCCCCTTTTTCATAAACTTGCAGTCTAGACTAAAGAGAATACAAAGGTATTCCAGAAAAATGAACCGGCTGGTCCAGCATGCTGTGTCATTATCTCAGTAACAAGTGCTTTCTGTGTTTCAAACTGAAAAGCTCAGCTTAGCATCACCCACAGCAGACCCTGCAGGCTAGGACTTGCACATGTAAAAGCAAAACCACGGTGAAGTACAATCCAAAGAGATGTCAGGAGACTCGCTGCACAGCAGTCGCTCTACAAAATGCCTCTTGTCAGCGGTTCCCATTAGAAGCCTCTATCCTGTAAACATCTAATACAACTGGATATGGGAGCGCTTGAGGAGGCAAGGGCTGGTGACAGCCTCAGACACTCTGTGCCAGTGCTGCAAGGCAGGAGCAAAAAGCCTGAGCTCCCACTTCTGAGACCGGCAGGAAYGGCTCACTGAGCGCCACTGAACACTTCTCCCAGCAGATCTGGTTTTATTCATATCTCCACTCTCCTCTGGGTTTCACGGCCAGCCAACCTTGTGTCAGCCACATTAAGCTAATTTTCTTTCACACTTGCACAACATTCCCCAAGGTTTCTGTGCTGGCACATCTGGCCCGGGATAACACAGCAACCCACAGAGCAGTGAGAACAACCTGGTCACACGGGATTCATTTATCTATTCTCCTTAGGAACCTAACAGTCACTAAAAGAAATGTATGGAGCACAGGTGAAAGGTTTTGTGGGGTTTTTATCCACCAGCATCCGCCAATCTCTTTTCTAGCCATCTATAGGAGTTCACACAATACATCATCAGTGAAGACCCACGCCTTCTTTTTGACTGCTGATAGTTCATAAAGGTCTAGGGGACACTGTGAGGCACCAAGGGTCAGCAACACCAGGCTCTTGTAAAAGCTCTAGCAGTTTTGCTGAGAACTAGAGGCAGCACATTCTTGTGAGTTATACAGAATATATTTTTCTAGATTGTCTATAAAAACAAAATGTAAAAGCGTCACAAACTGCCAAAGACACTGGATCCATCACAACTGAGATGGCTAGCAGGGAAATGAAGAGACAGGTGAGCATCACTTACCGGATCACCTTCCACCACTTCCCCTTTCTGGTTCTTAATCACCATCACAACCTGAGCCTGGAAAGTGATAATTAATACTGGTCCCTGCTCCATCATCTTCCCCATAGCCAGCTGCAAAGAAAGAAAATTCTATTAAAAAAAAAAGGAGAGAGACTTTCTGAAGATGAATGTAAAAGCATCAAATATTAAACGTAACTGCCATGGCTTGACACAGCTAAAAGCGCCACTGCCTCTCAAAGCTGAACCCAGCCACTTTCATCAGGTTGTATCTGTTCTGTTGATACTGCCACTGTAGACATTACTGTAAAGCATTGCCCAAAACCTTTCCCTGTGCTAAAATACTTCCCAAACACTGTTCTCTAAGTTTCCATTATTTTTCCTATATTTAAGAACTTGCGAAACACGAGCAAGCTCTGTTTTAAGGATTTCCAAAGCAGAGACTAATAATAAAAGAAATCACACTCTGATACATTTCCCAAATGAAGTATACCAAAGGTTCTTCACTTGCTTGCAAACAGATTTTTATCTAGTTCATTATGGTTTCATTTTAAAGAGAACTCAGAAGGAGAAAGACTCTTCAAGGTGACAACTTTTTGACATTTTCTTTGTTTTCTATTCCAAGATCACCCCATTAAACCTTCCAGGAACTAGTAAGTGAAACAACACGAAGAATGGAAATACAATAAAAAATGGAGAATACTGTTTCCCAAAGCTGTACTCTTGAAAAATCCAACCTTCTTTCTGTCTCTTTTGTAGAAATGCAGGATGCTACAGAAGAGTAGTTTTCATTGTGCTCTTAAGAAACCCTGTGTTCTTACCGGGCTCTTTACCCAAAGAGTAGATGATACCACCTCAGACTTAACAATAACTTTTCTGTGCATGAGATGTGCTGCTTCAAAAACATTGCATTTCACCACATAATAAAGACTGCATTACAGGACAGTTATAAAAATGTACCTGAGTTCACAAAGGCACATCTTTATGTTTGCACTCTGCTGCTCTACCTGCTTCTCTGGCTGATGCAGAGGGTAAAATATTCACTGCAGTCCAACTAGTAAGAGAGGGAGTCATTTGGGCAAGAATACAGAACTCAGCTAATAACTGTTAGTTTTGATAGGACAGGAGGTCTAGGAAAGGGGACTATGTACTTTATTCCCAAAAATCCAAAATTTAACTTAACTTAAAGGCAGGAGGTATCTAGTGAAGCAGCTGCCTTACTCCCCTCCTCCTCTTACATATCTCCTTTGAAGCAGAGCTGGCTACGGAATATGGATGGGCTGATCAAAGGTGAGAACTTCTTTTTGAAGATGCTTTTGCCATTGAAGAGGAAAAGATCTGAAGGGGCCAGCGGCAGATGAAACTAAAACCTTAATTAAATGAAAGTGCAACTCTAGACTTTCTGCTAAGTACAACAGTAACAGGTCTGGCTCCTCCATATAAACAGAACGTGGGGAGCATTAAGACTGTGCAGATATTTGGCAAGAAATCCCCAACTACCAACACTGCTCCTGAGCAGGCAACGGTCATTACCTTCCTCCTCACCCAGAAGAGCAGTTAAGTCTCTCTAGCAGACTAGAGAGTCTTAGCTATATGGCTATTTCTGCACTGCAYGTCCTTGAATCATAGAAATATCTCACGCTACCATCCAAAGTAAGCATCAACAAAGTCCTTCATGAAAACACTGGGTCAGTGCTATTTGCCTTTATTATTAGCYTTTCTAAATCTACATCCAAACTAAGACCAAGGTGCCCTAGCAGAGAGGGGACAAATGAGAGYCCTGTAATTTAGGCTTGATCAACCAGTAGGGAATTGCTTCCTCAAATYTGCCCCATGTGCTCTCCCTTCCAGCAGTGGTGATCTGTTCCTCTGTTAGCAGGAACAGCAAATATAAGAATAGCATGGAGTAAGAAATAAAGTACAAAAGTCCTACAGTCATGAGTTTCTAATTTAGCCCCCAAGGTGAAGCACAGAGGAGGACACTCACATCGATGTTGTCGATGTCCAGAATCCTGGAGTGGAACTGGAGACCCATGACTTTGGCTTGCTGGATTGGATGAGCAAGTTGACTGTAAGTCTAAATGAAGCAACAAACTTGTATTACATGTTTGAATTTGTTCTGTCATAAAGGGGTTTTTTTTGCTTAGCAAAAACCATGGAAAAAGTCACTTTCCTCCAAACATTCTGAAAGCTTATTTACTGCATGTATCTAACAGCTCCATTAAATGTGCCAGGCTCCACATAAATAAATTCTCACTAAAACTCCCATCTCCACTGGACATAAAAACAGATTCATCATTCATCTCCACACACTGTATGCACCTGAGGGCCAAAGCACTTGCGGCTCTGATTTGACAGCAAACAGGGAGATACAATCTGGGAACCAKGCTATTTTCCTAGGAGCCAGACCAGTATTTCCTGGCTCTGTTYTAGGTATACGCATATATGCTTTGTTATTTATGCACTGAAGACTGTTGCTCAGGAATAGAGATATTCTATTTGCTTCCAGCATTATCGCAGCATTCCTGGCACCTTGTCAAACAAGCATGAGGCAGCCCTGACTATGCCTCATKACCACAGATCTTCCAACTTCATCAAAAGTGATTCTTTGCAAGAGCCTTTGTCTCCTGGACACTCATTAGTGAGATTCTCGTTTTCAACCTCAGCTTATTTTACACGAGTCTTGGATTAGGAACTTGATTTACCCTCGCAACCAACCGAGAAGGTTGTGTTTTGTGCCTTGTGTTTTATGCATTGCCRTAGACTTGCTCCTCCCTCTACAAATTCGAGAGGAAGTCTGTGGTGTCATTTCAAAGCTTGCTTGAAGCAGTAAAGAACTTTATTTTCAGGTTGCTTTAAATACCTTTTTCTTACATACTGCAAAATTGCTAGGAAGAGCTAATAGAACAAACTACCAGGAAAATTTTACGTAGAAACTGTTTCTTCCTCTAACGTTTGAATTTTCAGCCCTCTGGTGGTGGTTATCAGTAGGAGAACACTTACTTTAAGCAGATAAATTCTTCAGAAACAAGTATGCCTCTGTCTTGCCAACAGCACAATTATTTTGGAGCGGACAGAAGACTGAGCAGAATAAACATCCTCTGACATTTAAATGCTAACTTCAGATAAGGATCTGCTTCCATGAAGCTAAGTGTACAATAATACAATCACTGCATCACAGCTAATTCACATACACTGTGTTTTAGAAAGCGAGTGCTATCCATACCGGTAGGAAAGAAACCCCAGCATCTTAACAGTAAATTAGATTATCCAGGCTGCAAATTATCTGCGCTGCAAATTCATACAAATTTGAGCCTGACAAAGTTATTTGCTGGGATACTACAGTGCAGCTCTGCTTAATGTGGTAGCTACACAGAACGACCACCTCTGCAAGAAGAAAATCAACCATTTGGGGTCAACTCAGACATCTCTGCACCTTCCTCCCCGATATGAGGAACGCAGAAAAACACCAGGCCAAAGAAGTCCTAATCATAGCAGTGCAGATAGCTTCTTTTTTTCCAGATTTGCTGGAACCAGTAGCAATCCTCAAACTCTCTACAAAAATCCACTGAAACCCAGAAGGGCAGTGCAAAACTGGAGCTAGTTAAACTAGTTAAGCTCTTAAAATAGTCACTGTGTGTTTCTGTAAGCAGCTTTCCTCCGTTATCCAGACTGTTCTGGGCAAAGCAGCATGTTGTAAATACACAGCTGGATGGCTTGTAAAGTGCACAACACGTCTCCTTACAGAAGAGGATCGTAACCTTTCCAGTCATTTACAGTAGTTCTACTTACCGCTTCATAGCACCAGTCTTTGAGGATATCAAGTTCTCCAGACATCATAGCCTAAGAGAGGAAATCCAATAAAATATGAGTATTTAAAAATGCCTCCTGTATCAGAGAGATAAAATATCAGCACTTGCAGAAGCAAACTGCTTTAAATCCTACGTSATCTCATGAGAGGCTTTGTTCTCTGTTAATATCTGCTTCTCTTCAATAGYCTTTTTTCCAATCTCGTACCTATCTCTCAAAACATGATTTTTGCTCTCYATCTTTTAATCTTTATCTTTTCAGATAGWTATCTKARAKATMTWWAKATMTYTMAGATAWCTATCTCATGTGACAGTGAGATGAACTACATATTCACAGCCTTAACCAGCGCTATCTTCCAAGTGTTTTCTCCTAGGCTTCAGAAATTGTAAAGTTTCAACAATTTTCTTGATTAATGCCAGAAATATCCTCACCAAAACATCCTCACCAAAATATCCGCACCAAAACCACAACCTGGTTTTCATCCCAAGCCAGTTACAGATCATTTAGAATTGAATAGTCCATTTGCAAATTCTTTCCTTCATCAATACTCGGTCTTGTCCCTTAGCCCTGTACTGCTTGTTCACCTACTGCAGTTTGATTCCTCAAATGCTCATGCTTTTTCTCATGGGAGATGAAGGTCAGTTGTTTCCCAGGCCAGATTTTTTTTTGGCTGTGTTATTAAATTGCRTAACAAGATTTGCAACAAAATTGTGTTGTGAGATCAAGCTTCCCATTCCCAAGGTTATTTCATGTAGGATGTTATGCTAAGCRGGATGCTTGAGAAGCAAATGGTGTCCCAGCTTTTAATTTTAGCATTAAAAAAAGTAAATGCCAAGCCTGCTATGCTGGGATAAAGGAAAAGAAACTAAACACGTGCATCATACTCTGCACCCACCTTACCTCTAGGACATTGGGGATTATATCATTCTCGCATTGCTTTAAGAAACGATCTTTGTCAAAGGATGGATCCACTTTAAGTATCTCTGTCAAAACCTCGGACATTTCTGTCTTCGAGAACAACCCACCTGATGAAACAGTAAGACCGGTGATATGACCAACGTTGACAAAAACAACAACAACAACAGAAAAGAGACAGACTTATGGCTATATAACGGAAGAAAAAAGAGTCGCCTGGGAAGAGCTATAAACTGCATGTTAGGTTTGAGATTTATCTTGTAATAGCACTTGCCATTGCATTACATTGCACTTCTGATCCAGTAACAGGTTGCTGCACTGCATGATACTGGATAATGATCCATGCAAAGTACTATAAAGCTCCAGAATCTTTCCCAAAGGCCAGTAATACATCGAGGACAASAGCACTAGCAGCCGTAGGAGCAGAGCTGAAAGCCCAGAGATACATTTTCACAGCAAGGATGAAACATTACCTATTAAGTCAGTGACTTTGTCTGTGACAGCTCTGGAAGCGCGAATAAAAGCGTTATCACTTTCATCATACTTCATCTTCATTTCAAAGAAYCCTGAAAGGAGAGAAGACATGAGCAGCAGTGCCTTTCCACTATACTGCTGAACTGACAACAGTATGTAGCAGACTGTAATTTCACCTATTACCTACCTAATTTAATTAATAAATTAAATAAACGATTAATAAATTCAATTTAAAAGTTTTTTTTCCTTATCTTTCTACTATGCTCTTAAATACCACTAACATGTTCCTACCTATGAGAACAGTTCGTTTATACACAARTATTAGGGTTCCCTGTGGACAACAGGGTTCCACCAGAATCTTTCTGGCCTAGGACAAACACGGTTTCTCTCACTTCAATGGCCAAAGCCTCTGGACTTGCTTAGTGCAGCAACTCACTCTGCTACAAGGAGCAGTGRGATATAGTGATGCAAAGYCAATGCCAGAAAATGTACCTGGAAWAATCAAAAGTAGACCTTAAAGCTTGCCAATATTTGATAGAATAGCAAGACACTAGTAAGAATGCGTTTTTAAGCACCTCTGTGTACTCCCCAACCTCGAGGAGAAAGAAAGTCCAGCTGTCCCAAAAACGCAGAAGCTACTGAAGGAGAAAGGGAATTCATTTTCCGCCTAATAAAGYAAAGTCTCAAAGGCAGAAAGAAGAGCAAGGGCAGCGGAGAGTAGAGGGGAAGCAAAGCCACTTAAACAAGTAGACTTTGTTACAACAAAATCACTCTCTGCCTCTGAACAGAAGGAGCAAAGAAACCACAGGAGGTAGTTGTGGGATAATGAGCCCAGAGGGAGCCTTCTTCCCACCATGTTAATTAACAATTGGAATTTAGCTCTGAAGCGTATGCTCCTTAAAAAAAAAAAAAAAATTATGCTCTTGGTACTGGTGGCACATAAAGAGAGAGCTTCACTCTTAAACGTGGTGCAGCCATTTCTGCAAAGCTCCCCATGGTGAAATTACAGTCTGGGAAATATGCACAAAAAAAGGCAGAATTCACAAAGAGCTCGTGCAAACGGCACAGGACCGGAGGGTGCAATATCTTATCAGAATCAGAATCTCTGAAGTTGTGAGTGTTTCCTTGGAAAGACTAGCACAAGGTACACAAAACCCCACTCCTGGACACTTGCCTAGGAGCTCTAGGAGTTCACCTTTAAAGGAAGGTGAGAAGGAACTGTGCAAATGTAAGGATATGATCTAGTTTTATGCAACATTTTTTTCCCTATTTACCCTGCAGCCAGAGGCAACTATTATTTTGATTTGCTGACAGATTCTGGTTTCAGGCTTCTTTATGCCATACAGTAACATTAAACACCTAGACAACCATCAAAAAATATTGCCCACTGCAATCCAGATATGCACTATTTTTATGTTTTGAAATAAAASTGCAAGAGAAGGGAAGCTCTCCATATTTCAGTTTTAAGCAAATGATGGCAGAAACCAGCTCACTGAAAATAAGACTTCTCACCACAAACTCAAGGTCAGAAAGAAGGAATCTCTCTGGCCTCTCCCCAAGAACATGCATGCATGTCCTGCAGGAGCATAAACAAGTAGAMCTCAGCTCTCTTGGAGCAATGATGAAGGCAAGTTTTGATATCTACGAGGAGCTGCAATATTTTATTAACCAAAGACAATACAAATTGGAGGTGAGAGGGACCAATAGAGAAAGAGCAGCTTGAGGAAGCTTCAATATTGTCAGCTATGCCTACTTCCCATTTCACACCACCTCACAGCAACAGCTACAAAACAAAAACGGCCCTGATTTGCATTATGTTGAGACTGGTTGCACAGATGGCATCAGATCCAACACAGCAACACTTTGAGCGCTGAAAATTGTGTATTACTCCATCTTTGGAACACTTACTATTGAAGACCACGTTGTTATCCTTGAAATCTTTCCACTGTTGATACCATTTTGAGTCCTTATGCAGCACCACACCCATGGCCTCCCTGAAGAAAGCAGAAGATACGGGTCAAGAACACGCACTTAACATCCGAGTCTCTGCAGCCTCACTTCAGCTCTCACTTTTTACCCATCCCTGCAGTTACATTTTAAAACTTTTTCAAATTACTCAGAGAAAGAGTCACCTTAAATTACATCCACTACTTACTCGTTAGCTTCAAATATTCGCTCCTCTTTAATCTTCTCGCCTGAGAATTCTTTCCTTTTTCGTAGTCTCTCTGGACGTTTGTAAGGACCTGTCCGCCCTAAAACACTTTCATCTATTTCCTTCTTAACAGTTTCTACTCCCTGAAAGAAAAATACCCTTATTAGGGTGATTTGCCTTTCAAAAAACTGCAAATCACTTCTGTTGGAAAAAAAAAATGCACCACAGGTTATTCCCCTCTCTCTCTACTCAGCAAACGTCTCTCTGCTAATGCATGTGGAGAAATACACCAAGATGAAGGCTTTTGCCTTAAGAAGTTAACAGTTTGGAAGGGCAAACAGACAGTTCTGACTGGATCAGCCTGAAACAGTGAAGCAGAGGCACAGACACAGCCAAACCTGATGGTTGTTGAGGTGCAACCTCTACAGAGTTTAAACTAGGGAAAATATGTTAAGAGGAAGAAGTATCCGCTCCCAGCAGCTGTCGATAGGAAAACAAGCTATATGTAAAGGAATGGCTTCCACAAATGGGGAGCAAGAAAGCCAGTCTCCAAGAAAACAGCAGCAGCAGCAAAACCATCTGAAAGGCCAAGGAAATCCACATCTAAGGACAAGCAAACAGAAAGTTTGCTTTTCCTGAAACACSTATTTTAGAAACAAAAGCAGCCTCACTTTTCATAGCAGAAGCTCACACATCTCCAGCTGAGAAAACAGCTATGAAGTAAATTGTTTTTCCCCATTGAGAAAAGGTGCAGGAAAATCACAGTAGCACAGCTTACACTAAAGGAGAGGTATGAGTTATTCTCTCTTCAATTCTCTCATCATCCTCTCTTCACTGTATAGAAAAATGACTTGATAAATCTGGACTAATACAAACCACACAAGAGCTACTTCCTTAAACCAAACTACCCCAACTAAGCCACATCACTCTGTAATCACTAGAGAGACTTTTGTCATACACCTAGAGAGGACTAAAAGGCATTTTTAGTGTTTCTGCTTCATCTTGGTTGCATTGCTTTCAATAATTTACTCAACTTTCRAGCAGACACTTCTCTAGCAACTGTACCTATAATGAGATGTGGTTCACAAGAAGTGCAGCTTCCCACTGTAACCACATACACCCAGGTAGAAAGCTGTTGTATATACACTCTTTCTGGATAGCTTTTTTCCCTCCAAGTTACATGTTTATTTGTGGCAGATAGTTTATCTAGCCCAAAGTAAGTACCATGTGGCTTTATGAGGATTGTTAAGTGTGAAGTTTATTTCATGTTAATTCCCTAGAAAGTGCTCAAAAGGGTCCATCATAGTATTGCCAGTACCTGTTTACAAACAGGGATGCTACTCTGCCCCATGAGTGCAGCAAACCATTTCTACAGTACCACATTTAGCAGAAATCTAAATCTCATCTACTTGAGACTTGCACTTTTCACAGCAACTGAACAAACGCCAGACCTGCAAAATACAGCCCTTAAATTCCTCGCTCACAAGCAGTACCTCTTTATGGGAAAACTCTTGTTCTACGCGTTTGACATTTAATTTTAGACTCAGCACAAGCTTGTGTGGTAATTTCCATGACAATGAGCYGGGTCCCTAGGACTGGGCCTCAGAGAAGCAAGGGACCCCTGTACATACCTGAGAAATGGCTTTGAAGGCTGCTGTCTTGCCGAGCTTCTCTCCTCCTTTTGTCACTGACTCTGCAGACTGCTTTGCTGTTTTTGCTGCTTCTTCCACACCTTCCTTTATCTTACGGCCAATATCACTTTTACTTACTTCATCCAAACTCTGCAACAAAACACGAAAGAAAAGGTCCCAAAATCACTGGCCAAAATATTACTGCTGCAGTTCTTAATGACTCTGACCTTAAAGATAATGACTGCCCCTCATGAAGAGAAAAAGAAAGGGTGATAATTCAAACACACACAAAACACAGAGTCTTAGGATCAAATGGCCTGAGGGGAAGGTTTTCCATAGTTGTTTTACCTCTTTAACTGTACCAGTTATTTCTTCAAGTTTCTTTTTAATCACTTCAGATGTCTTTACAGTTTCAGATTCAATGGTTTTCTGTAGGGAAAGAAAAGACAGTTATGACATAACTACAAGGACAGAAAACACTCAACAACAGGTTAGCACATAGCCCACCATTAACACTGTAATTTRGGAGAGTTTATTAATCTTGAGTAGAATTGATTCATTTCTCTTTCTAGCATTATTGTAAGGTAAATAAACAGCACTTTTCTCACTAAGAAAGAAAAAGATATCAGAATACAGTATGTTCTGTGCTGGGTAAACTACATCTCCTGATCAATACAATGTAAACTAACAGCAATCCTGAAACACAGCAATAGGGAACTAATGAACACATTTTACAGGACAGTAGCCCAAAATGACTCAGGGATTCAGAGCCCAGCAGTTAATTCTGGCATAACTGACACAGAAAACAGGTTAATAAGAAACTAYACAGTTCAACAGAGGAACAAGTAGATGGCCAAGCTATTCTTTTAAGTGCAGAGGAATACTGTGTTCTTAGAGAGCACACAAAATGCAAGTAAATAACATCAGTACTTCATTACTGGAAATTAAGATTGCACAGACAGCATTTACACGCTGATGAAATTACACTCATGGTCTCATTATTTTATCTGCTCATTATTTAGGAAATTTAGTGAAGGATCTGGCATGCTGAACTAACAATTCATTTGCACAAAGACTAAACTTTAGTAACCAGAACAGTGACTAGACAATGAAAATACTGAAGGAATTCATAGGACTTACATATTTCCTCCTTGCTTCTCGGAGTGCATCAGATTCTTCCAGCTTTTTAGCTTCATCGCGGAACTTTTTAATACTTTCTTTCATCTCTTTATTTTTCGCTAACTCCTGTTTGATGTTCTCCACAAAACCTGATATAAAACCCTTTCTTCCTCCAGAAGAGTAACATCTGGACTAAAGAAAATGATTAGATGTTGTAGGAAGCAAAGAAACATTTACTTGAAGAAGCATTAAAGCCAGAAGGTGGATTTACTTAAGCCAAACACTGTGTTACTTGTAGTGCGTTTAATGCTATGGAAAACATATAGGCACCTTGGAAAAGAATCACCTAAACCACATAAAAGCCAAATATCTAACATAATTGCAATGTCTTGTAATATACATCTATATAGCTGCAAAAAAAGCTGTCTCTCCTGAGGCTGTTTCACACWACCTTGGCTTGAAATGGTTCTTGACAATTAACTAAGTTCTGTGGAAGATCTACACGGTAGACAAAGGAGTTATTGGAACACCGCTCCTCAATTCTGTCCCTTGTACTCTGCTACTAAGAAAAGACATCTGGTGGATACAAACATCTCAAAAAGCTCAGTCTTTCAACCAGAACTGTTCTCAGCAACACGTCCACACCTGGTAGATTCAGCACTTTGCTTGTGGAGAAAACACTTCCAGTGATAAACCAACCTGATAGAGCTCTAGGACAGGCCTGCTTGACCTGTAGGCTGCAGCACTGTAGACCGCGGGGACCGGGTACCTGCCGGATATGAGCCACATGCCGCTGACGAGACATTTCTGCAACCAGAACGGAACCTCGTGTTAGCACTCGGCACAAGACGGGAGCGTCAAAGAAACAACAAATAACAGCAAGGATGTTGCAAAAAAAAAAGATAATATTCATTAGTCTTTGGGGAGCAGACCGTAAGCACTGCTGGGGAAGGTCTGCTGGATGGTGAGGGGACACGGCACTGCAGCACACTGCATATATATATGCAGGTATAGTACATATATAATATATATGGATATGCAGATATGCCATATGGTCACTGCGCTGAGCCGCCGGTCTCAGGGAAGGGGCAGGGATGACCCGAGCCCTCCCACAGCCCGTAGCGCCTTCAGGGCCGGGCTGGAGCCCGAGCGAGGCGGGGAAGGCCGCGGCACCGGGCAGGGCCTCGCCCTCGGGCTGCCTGCCCGCCGCGGCCGCAGCCCGGCCGGACAGGCTGCGCCTCACGGGAGGGCAGGCGCGACCCGGCGGAGGCTCCCGCGGCACCGCGGGGGCCCCCGGGGGAGCCGCGTGGTCCCGGCCCCGGCCGCGGCCCCGCCGCCCCGCGCTCACCCGGCAGCCGCCGGACCCCGCCGCCATCTTGCGCGCGTGACCTTCGCGCGGCGCCGCGCGGTGACGTCACGCTGCGCACGCGCACTCAGGCGGGGAGCGGCTCAGGGGCGCCCTTCCTCCTCCCTCCCCCTCCCCAGACTCAGAAGGAGACTCCAACAACGCTTTAACTAACATTTTTTTTTTATTATTGTGAAGTAAAATGCATTTTTTTTCTCCTCTAAAGTACAAAGTAGCAAGTGAAGTGTCTGCACGCGTCCCCTCCAGCGTCCTGAGGGTCTCCCCAAAGCCTTCCCCCCAGCCCCTTGCGCGGCTCCTTTTCTGCAGTGGCAAAGCTGGGTTGTGGCTCCTGCTCGCTGCTGCGAGTTCTGCCTTCCAAGGGGCATCAAAGGAAACCATTTCGTAATGAACCGTAAAGGTAAAGCCTTAGTGAGGTACAACCGAGTCCCGTTAGGGAGCAGCTTCACCTCACAAGCAGTTCTGCCAGGACAGCCGAGAATGCCGAAAAAATGCCTTTCTCATTAAAAACAAAAGGTAACTGTGAGCTGTAGGTTACAGAAGGGATTCTGCAATAGTAAATCATCATGAAACCCCCTTGCAGGGTTAGGGGTGATTATTAAAAGAGCAAGAGCTGCCAGGTATGAGGCTTTGTCTTTCTCTCTTTTGATGCAGCTGTAAAAATTCCTCCAATATCCAATGCATTTTCTGCATTTCACACTTATCATACCATGCTGGAAATGACAGCATTCAGTAGTGGGGTACCATAAAGCACTCAAACTTAGAAACAGGCAGGCAAACTTTCACCAAAAGAAAAGTCTGTTCAACTTTAGCCTTCCCCTAGGAACCTGTCCTTTGCCATGAGGACACAAAGGTGGATGACATCCTTGCAAAGGAAGCTCATTGGTGAGGTTTTTTTAAGGCAGCAGAGTACTGCAGGTAGCATCAAGCCCCTAAGGAGAACATTATTCAGTTACTGTAACTGGAAGTTTGCCTTGGAGCTTTTGCAGCCCTCGAACCAAGAAAAGGACAAGAAATATTGTCTTTATCATTAAAAAATAAATCAGCTCTCCAAAGGAATTCACTCTCATCCATTTAGGTATCTGGCTATTGAAATTATACTTGCTGCAGATATAGAAATGCCACCTTCTTCCTCTTCACCTCGCAGCAGCTGTTTCCCACATAACGCACTCTACTTAGTCCAGTGAGGGGTAGACAGAGGGTGCGTTGCCTCCACTGAAATGGTCCACATGAGAAAACATGTTTTTAATCTATTCTCGGTTGACAGTTCAGGCCTTCAGAACAGCTCTGACAACTGACAGCGCAGGATTTTTTTTTTTTTTTTTTAAACCAGCTTTGCCACTGGAGAAAAATTTAAATAACCAGCCGCCTTCTTTTGCTAGGAAAAAGAAAAAAAATATGTATCTACTACATCTTAATACCGGAAGAGAAGCCTCTTGTACCCTGAAGACATTCAAATGCTAATATGCAAGTGCATCATTTTAAAGACTGATTCATACTGTCATTAACTGACAACCAGTATGAACATTCCTTTTTGACACTTCACAAGGAATACAAGTTCTAGTTTACTGAGCTCAGATTACAGGTATTTTTGCAAGCATAGGATGTGCTGCCAGTAACAGATGCAATGACTGAAAGCTTTAACTTGCATTTATTATCAAAGTCGTACTGTTTACATCTGTAATGTCAACAAGATGCCACAACTACAAAAAAAGATTGTGCACATTGCAGTTTCAATGCAAAAAACAGTAAAATGGAAATCCATTTGTTAAAAAAGTAATTAAAATTACTCCAGAAAGCAACTGAATCGTTTTAACACCTTTACATCCAGTCAAATTAAAATGGTTAACAAGAAAAATACAAATTCAACAAAAATCTGGTATAAGTCTTAAAAAGGCAACTACTTAAGCATTTCTATCAATTCGCACATCAATCTCCCTCCCTCGGAGCTGTATCCCATTCATCATACGGCAGGCTCGCTCAGCTACTTCTGGGGACTCAAACCTAACCACACCACATCCCTTAGATTTCCCATTCTCCATCTTGATATCAGCATACAGGACGTGACCTGGAAAAAAAAGAGGAAAAAAGAGTTATATTTTGTTCTTGTTTAATCTAGGACATAGCATAGAGCTCTATCAGATCACACTTCCCTACCTTACAGACAGGGGAAATGTAAATTTTAAAACTGCCATTACTTTCAAACTTTAAGCTGCAAGACCATTTTACCAAGTCATTCTTTTAGAGGAATGCACTCAGTTTAAAAGCTGAATTCAAAGTGGTTCTCTCCAACTCAAAGAACTGCACCAGAAACAGATGAATTGAGCAAAGCGCAGTCTAACCAGCTGGCCCAGTTGGCCAACACTAGTTCATACCACAGCTAACAAGGCTGGAACTTGGTCTTACTAACAGGAAAGCAGCACAAGGTGCTGGGCAGGAAGGCTGGGGTAGTGACTATTGCCATGAAAAAAACTCCCCAAAGTTCATCAAAACACAAATTTACCTAACTAACTCTACAGTTTGGGAAAAAAAAAATAAGTTATTTTGGAGAAAGACAGAAAAACAAAACTTACCACATTCATTAAATTTATCTTTCAGCATTTTCCATGTAAAATCAAAAGGCAGCTGTGGAAGAGAAGAACAGACCATTACTGAGGATCAACTGAATGACTTATCGGTCCCACAACTCCCCAGAATACATTTTCCATGCAGGGACAGCCATAGCTCAGCACCATCACTTAGAAATGGAGAGCGCTGTACAGGAATGGCTTCAAGTCCCAAGAGACTAATTCTGTTTTGGGCAGCATCCAATATTATTCTAACTGAAGCCAACAAAGCACAGACGTGGCCAACACCTCAGCACTATTAATTTCATGACAGGAAGACAGGAAGAAGGCTACTCACATTTCTCACAAATATCTGACAGGCTTTTCTGGCCACCCCAGCTGCAGGTCCTCCAGTTCCTCCAAGGGAGCCTGCAAAATTGCCTGCAAAGTTTCCACGTTCCATATCCATCGTTCTTTCAAAATTGCTTCCCATCGCAAGTCCCATTCGATCTATGCCTGCTCCCATGCCCTGGCCCATTGCAGGGCCCATTCTTTCCATATTAGTGGCTCCAATGCGCTCCAAACCCATTCTCTCCATGCTAGCAGCACCCATACGATCTATTCCTATTCTTTCCATAGGAGTGGCACCTATGCGATCCAAGCCGGCTGGCATTCTCTCTATGACCTGACCCATTCCGGTTCCCATTCCGGCAGGGACCATGCGCTCCATCCCTATGCCCATTCTATCCATGCCAGAGCCCATACGTTCTACACCTGAGCCCATCCTCTCGATGCCGGTACCGACACGATCGATGGCAGCACCCATCCTCTCGATACCGAAACCTATTCCAGAGCCCATTCTTTCTATGCCAGAACCCATCCTCTCGATGGCTGGGCCCATCCTCTCGATGTTAGGAGCAATGTGATCTATCCCCAGAGGGGCCATTCGATCGATTCCTGAGCCCATGCGATCCACGTTGGAACTCATGCGATCCAAAACGAGACCCATCCTGTCTATTTCTGACCCTACTCTCTCCATCCCGTGCCCCATCCCGGAAGGTATTCTTTCTATTCCCGAGCCCATACGATCAATGCCAGGTGCCATCCTCTCAATTCCAGGAATGCTGGCATTTCCACCACCTGGAACACAACACATAGATTATCAGAAATCATACAGGGATAAAGCCAACTTGATACACATTTACATTCCTAAAATGCTTTAAGCTCTATTATTAATAAAAAAAAGTGACTGTGTGCTCTGTTTTCTGATGATGTGAAACAAAGCTTATTTCAGATCATAGAAGTGTTTTGGTTTTGTTCTTTTTATCTCCCCAAACCTAACAGTTCTCTTTCTCCAGACCTTAAAGAATGGAGAAAGAAGAGCCACAGAAAATCACAGCAGTATTTAAATTAGATTAACAGAGCACAGCATCACCAATCTAAGCAATAAGGAGAAGTTCACACASTAGCAACTGGCAGGATCAAACTGTACACATGGGGAACGGATGCACAGAAAAGACGTTAAAATTCTCAGGTTTGGAACACTTCCGGCAAGTTTAACACCCTTTTGCCGTCTCAAAGATGCTGCAGACGTCAAGGGCTGCGTTGTTCTTGCTCAGTTCAAGTACTATTTTATACTGAATTATTTGCTACACTATAGTCTTCCTTTTTCCCCTGGATTTCCTAAGGAAACACCCACATTAAGAGCACAATCTTTAGTACTACATCAATTCCCGAARTTATGGAGTAAGGTGTTCTTTCCAGTCGCCTGATGCATGAGGCAACACCAAGTTCCTGCAATGTCTAGGAGGAAGGGAAATAAATCAAGGTTATACCCCATTTCTCCTCCCAGCTTTCTAGGCTGCAGTCTATGTTACAGGCTTGGGAATAAGTAAGTTTTCTTATTAGGGAAGTTTAGAATGAAATTTCAGGACACAAGGCAGTTTTCACTGTCTGGAAGGTTCACTTTTCCTATCAGGCTCCTATTATATAGCATGTCAAATCACTGCTGGTTCATACAGCTGTCCTCTGTACAGCCCACAGGAGTTGGATCAGAAAGTATTACAGAAGCTGTATAAAAAGAAATTGGTATGTTTGATTATAACAAAGTATGCATAATTTTTACAGAYAGTGCAGCTATGACAAGTACTAGAAGTACTTATCATAGCATACTTACCTATTCCTCTCTCCAAGGTGTCTCCAAAACTACGAGACATTCTCATTTCATTTCTTCCAAACTCTCTCTCAAATCCTGCACCCATTGCACGATCCATCTCTGTAAAGATTAAGTTTAATATGTTCTTCAGGGTATCTAAATGACTGCTGAGGTAGTATTTTACATTAGGCTCTTTTTAATTTTTCTTTTTTCCAATATTAGCAGTAAGATTAATTTTCATGTCCCCTTAAAATGGGGCTCATCTCAATACAGGCAACCACATTTGAAGCAGTCACTTTGCTCTGAAGAAGCTTTTTTGGTTTTAATTTTTTTTT